CAACTGAGATGGAACAGATTCGATATGTAATCACGGGTACCTTCTGCTCGACTAGAAACTTGTAAAGTTCTCATTAAGAGACTCTGAGGTGAACAGTATGAACATAATAATTATACCGATCTAAGCGTTTTAAGCGTACCATTGGACCAAGCACCAACTTCCAGTAACTCGGACCCTTTTGAATAATGAAACCGTCCGGATCGGACTGAGTCCTAGCGACCAAATTCATTCGCACTGCTATTTTTTCATTTTATATCGGGCTCGACGAAGAGGTTAACTTCGCAATACATAATCTGTGCACTTTTGTCCTTCCATTGAGTACTCCACTTATGGCCGTGCTACACCATTCTTGGGGTTAAATTGGTTGGGTCACCCCCTCACAGCAGGTAGCTTCACTGTTTTGTGGGAGATAACTGATGTGTAGTTAGCCAATTGGCTAATGGAGTAGGATATAAAAGGCTTTGAGTGAGTGTTAGTGAATCCTAAAAACAAAGTGTGACAAAAATCGGGTATTTTCAGCTCCGTGCCCGAAGTCCTAGCAGTAGGTCAAAAAAAGGCGAACGGGTTTTGGAACGGGAAATGAAAATATCGCTAAATTCGGACGCCTGTATTATGTTTCTCGCGATGAGTAGCCTAGCGTTTCGAGCCCAACTTAGGATGCATCGCAAAGCCGTAATTCTAATTCCTATCGACCATCTCTCGACGTTTGCTTCCGAAAAAGGGGAAAACTTGCACATCACAGTTTTACGTAGGCACAGCGTCTGATATATTGTACTATTACCTGGACAGCCTTGAGACAAATTGAGCGTATGACCAAATTATTATGAGCCATCAGCGTCTAACGCTAAAATAGGATCGGCTGAGTTTTGGGAAAGGCATTTTCGGTGGACGGGCTCGGAGGGTGATCGTGGATATTTTGAGGTGGGATATTTGTCAGCAGATGTATTGATGGTACAATCATCATGATAAATCATCCGGTATTTCGACGTGACCTTTGGATTCATGGAAGGAGATGACACTGTGACGGAAGAAGGATGATGTTCCAAACTAACAGATGATGAGGCGCTTGCCTGGCGATTTTTGTTGTTTGGGTTGTAGCTTCCTTGGTCGCACTGACATGGATTGGCCGTTGGACAAAATCTCTTGGCGGCATAAGTCTCAAGATTGGTGATAAAATGAGCTGGCCGTTTGCCGGAAAGAAACTGTGAAATGAATGGAGAGCAATTGTCGACTTTAGGTGGAGACAACGGAAGGCTAATCAAATTGAGCAAGTGGGCCTCCCACACGGGGCGAAATTGACTGCACTCTACAATAGTTTATGTTAGGTTTGATGAAAAACTGGTACAAAACGATAGAGAAGAACCAGTGCTAGTGACGCGAAGAACCTAAGCGAATCAACAGTGAGGGCTCATGTTAAGCCTAGGTAGTTAAAATCCGTGAGTGTCCAAGCACGCTTGAGGCCAGTAGAGTGTAACCGGCTGGCTTAAGACAGTTTTGTGTGGGCTTGGTAGGATTAATTCGAATCCGGGCTCACCAGTCCAGTGGACTTTAGTAGCATAAAAACAGACACATTATCACAGATTGGAGTCCGAATTTTTAAAATACCCTTGACAACATTCTGACGGAGCCCAACAGCGTCAATACACAATTACTGGCTGTTCAGTCATGATTTCTGTCATTGATACTGAAAAACATGTTGAGCTTATGAAGCCGCAAACGATCGACCAGGTGTGCCCATCACGCTCGAAATCGGTTTCGTTTTTCCCTCGTGCAAATTCGTGAAAAATTTTTTCCTTGTTCAATCTATTAACAGAGTAAACACGAGTAATTGTTGAATTTTATTACTCTAGCAAAACATTTGAGAGATAACCCTTTATATTTTGCGCACACTTCCTACCTTACATCTAGTCCTAAATATGACATCAATTTACACGGATTGCCCACTGCAGCCATTGATAGACCACAACAGATGTGGGCGAAATGGCTGCCCGTCGAACGTCAAACGCGGTATGCAATGCCACGCCTGCAAGGCCTGGTGGCATTTCGAATGCACGAGATTACAGGACGACCAGATAAGCCTATTGGCTAACTCTCCTGACCCGTTTGTCTGCGCCAGCTGCCTGTACGTCAAGGGCACGATGCATACCGCAGCGAAGAAGAGAATTCCCCAAAACGGAACCCAATCCCCAATGCAGATTCAGAAAGACCATTGCCAGTGTTCCTCTTTAATAGGGATACTCGACGCAAAATTAGAGCGTCTCTCAAAGACACTGGGGTACTCAGGCGTTAAGAATGCAGCAACCTGGACGAAAGTTGACAAGGAACATTCCTCGCTGAACCAATATCTAGCGACATCCATACCGGGCCCCATGGCTGCGACGAAAGTCATACAACATTCTGACACGGCTATAAAAACCGCTACAGCGTCTCTAGTGGACAGGCGCCTAAGGGAAAACAGACTGATGATCTGTGGGTCACTCTCCGGAAAAATCATGCCAGCGAAGCTGGCACAGTCGACCCTCAGCAACGTCCTCACCAAGCCTGATAAATTGCTCCACGCAGAATGGCTACGCCAGAAGGGAAGTAAGCGAACTCTTGGATTTCTAGTCACACTTTCTTCCCCATCCGAGGTACAGGAGATCTTGGAGCGGGCTGGAAGCATTCAAAAGGCCAACCCAATGATCAGGCGCCTATCTGAGGATCGTCCTCTAGACGCGCCTAAGCTTGGTCATAGCAGGTCGGGAGTGGAAGCACGAAAAAGGCTTCCACCGGGCACCAAATTAGACGAGGCCAAACTCATGACCAAGCCGATTGCGGTCATATCCCCGTGTGCTCCCGAAACCAGGCCGACGAAACCAGCCGCGTCTCTGGACAGCAGCTTTTATTCGACCTCCACAGGCCACCACCCAGCGCCTAGGGCCTCAAAGAGACACATTTCCGGTCAAACTGCGCCAATACACCCAAGGACCCAGAAAGGCGAAAGCTTGCAGTAAACCTTTGATCAACAGGTTGACGAAAAGTGGATACTGAAAGAGCTACAAACAGTATCGGTCGAAATTTTCGCCCATGGGGGAAAAACTCCGTCCTCCAAAGCCAAAAGGTCCCAGCAAACCGAGCTCTCACGGAACGAAAATAACCTCGCAAGCGAAAAGCAACCCTAGAAATCACAAAGACAGGAAGCAGACAACATCGCCCCAGAAGCCCCTTTGGAGCCTTGGACTTAGACTCAAACCCGGTGCACAACTATTAAGTCTGCTAACCACCCTGGTCATTCAACTTTCGGCTCCTCACCCTCGGAGGCAGCAGAGACAGTGTTGAAATGCTTGTACACAAACTGCCTCAGCCTTTTCAACAAAATGTTAAACAGTCAGCTTGCCCTGAACAGCCGTCCATAATCGAACTCAAAGACACCTGGCTCACGCCAGATGTCTGACGCGGAGATCTCGATAGATGGTTACTCTGTTTTTCGAGCTGACTCAAAACTAGAGAGTGCTGGTGGGTTTGCTCTGTACTTACATGAGGACCTACCAATCCCGATTGTCCTCTCTGACACCACACCTGCACCCTTTTGCGATGGACCGTGAGTCCAAATCCCGCTGCGCGGGTCCGATTCTCTCCTTCTCGGTGTGGTCTACCGTAGCCTTTTGAGCCCCCCTGAAGATGACCAATTCCTCATACAAACCATTGAGCAACTCTCCTCCAACTACCACTTCACTCATCTCTTGCTGGTAGGTGACTTCAACGCCCCAAAGACCTCCTGGATTGAGCTTCAGCGTGTCGAATCAGGCGAACTTTTTGCAGCGGCGCTGTTTGAAGTCGTTCAACAGAGCGCTTGGACCCAACAAGTCGCTGCACCCACCAGATACCGCGCAGGCCAACAACCATCCCTCTTGGATTTGGTCATCACCAACGAAAGACACTTCGTTGATCAGGTA